AGAAACAGTATAACTTGCCTAGCATAGTTCTGGAATAAAAGGCGCCTTGAGCCTTATTTTCTGTCTGTCTTTATCTCTTTCGCTCTCTGCGCGCCATCCCTTGGATGTCGTTTACACGCGTATTCAGTTTTATTTTCATTCGAAAAAGTGGTTATTATGAGCCCTGCGTCTGTACATGTGTGTGTGTGTGTGTGTGTGTGTTTTTTTTACGCGCGCTTAGTTTTCTCTCTACTCTCGTTCTGTGGAGCGCGCCTCCATGTATGCATGCATGCATACGTACGTGCACGAAGCGAATGCTGAGTCTATACGTTCGCTCCATACATGTACGGCTGGGCGGAGTGAGTGAGACAGAAAGAGAGAAAAAAAGCTACTTTAATATATGTAGGTTGAGTTTTTTTGTGCCGTTGTTACCTTTTTTTCTCGGTGCTTTTCAGAGGCAAACACACCAACTGCTTGAAATACATCCTTGCCGAGAGAGAGATTTTAATTTTACAAAAACTTTAATCAGCCACTCAAGCCCTCGTACGCCCGTATGTGTACGTATGCACCGTATGTAAGCATGTGCTGGATTAATAACGTGATTTTAGTTTTACGCACGCGAACCGAACTTCGTACACGTCTCTATATAGACAAGTTGGAAAAATTTTTCCAACGTCAACGAACGCATCTCTCTTTTTCTTCGGCTAAATTGAAGGTATGAGCTTTATTGAAACTTTTGTGGATGCGCGCGCGAGTGCAGGCGCGTGTCTCGTTTAAAATGAATTCCGCCGCACCGAGCGTCAGGAAATTTAAAAGAATAATGAAAAGAGAGCTCACTCTCATGCTCGTGCAGTCTTTCAAATGTATAAGTTACTTCGTGTGGAATGGATAATTATTTTTGCATATGAAAAGTCGAGTAGATCTATGTGTGACATGAACCACTGGTGGGTTCTTGTTTTTCAGACTGAAAAAATAATCTAAAAATGAATGGCTATAATTGAAATCGGGGTTTTCACACAAAAAAATTGCTGTATACGTTGAACTTACGTTTTACGTTCAAAAAATATATATTTTGAAGTGGACACATTGTCAATGTCTCAGCAGCAAAAAGCCAAGGGTATTGTTCATGAAATGTATAAAACTGTTTATCAAAAGTTTCTTGCGACACACTCGCGGACGCGCGTACATCGAGCCAAATACTTGCACACACTCCTTTCAACATCCATCCAATTTCTCTTATAAATATAGCAAAGAAGTTGAACAAAAAATCTCAGCGAACGAGAGTACGATTTTGTGAGTGTCACGCGTATTATAGACGTATAGAAGCCAAGAGGGATGAACGCTGAACTTAAAAGAATCTTTCGTGATCCGATAAAAGGATAGATTTTGTACCGAGTCAGAAATGATTTTTTCCTCATATATACACACGCTTGGGCTATATAGTACGAGGATGTCCTCGCGAAGAAGCGCAGCTCACTGATCGATGATTCGTTCTTATAATCCGTTTCCTTAAAATGGATTTCAGCTTCGACGCGACTGTTCTTTCTCGCTTGTGCCCCGCATGAATTATTGAAGCGCAAAAAAACATTAAGTACTCAAGAATTTTTTTCATATATTCTCCTTGAGATCGATGAAAAAAGTTTTATGAAAAATTTAATATTTATCTTGAATAAATTGTTTTTACGAAATCCTGCTCTCTTGGCTGATATAGACTTTCCATTTTATAATTTTTAAATTTCTATTTTTTTTTAAATTTGCAAGTCTCTCAATTGTTCGTTTAAAGAAAAGAGCCTCTGACATGGCCGAATGGTAAGATACATTTTTAAAATTGAATACGTCTAACATAAATCTTGGACAAATTAAAAAGAAACTTTGCCATTGAGAGCAATTTCAAAACTATTCAAACTCAGCAGCAAAGCTTTTCCTGTTTTCCAGCGGTGTCATCTCTTTGACTCGATATTTTTGCGCCTCGAATTTCCATGTACATTATAACGATGACATTATTTCGTATCGTGATTCTAACGATCTTCGCCTTCTGTATACGTCGAACCCATAGGCCAACGTTCCTTACATTAATTAAGCGCCGAGTGCCTCTTATTTTAACCTACTTTTTGCGCGTACGTACATTTACAACTAGGAACCTCATATACATTTGCAACTTTGCAAACTTGGCAAATTTTTTACGTTAAAACTCTATTACGCAAAGTTGAACATCAATATCCAATTATGTCTTGCGAGCAGGTGAATCATAGTAATGTATGATTTCATTAGTAGGCGGGAGGCGGCGAAACAAAATTTTGCGGGTCAAAGCGAAATTTCTATTGACCTAGATTTCAAATATCTCAGCCGTTCGAGCATTTTTGCTTCTAAGATCTTGACCAAATCTGTTCACCTATTATGTGGAAATTTGGCTATAAACGTGTGCATGCGGGCAAGGTAAAGCTGCAACGTAGTCTAGAATTTTTCTTCGTACCTTAAGCTCATATATTAGTGTTATCAGAAGCAAGCTTTTTTTTCATTGTAATCACGTTTCTTTACGCTCGTTTCCGATTCCGCTCGCGCTCGAGACCAAAAAATTAATTCCAAAATTTGGTAGGAAGCCAATTTTTTTTATCAAGTCTTAACGGCACAAACTCTAAAAAGCCTGTGAACTTTGAAGAGCACACTTTGAGTTTGCGCCCATGTAAATTACATCAAAAGGCGATGCGGTGCATAAAGTATACGACATAAATACACACGTACACGTTGATGGCAAAATTACAAGGAACAGTGGGTGGTGTTGCTGCTGGCGTATATATGGTCGATCCCAGAGAGGGCTGTGTTCTCCCAGCTATAGCAGTTTATATTAGCCTAGCTACACACGAAACACGTGTGTACTCAACCACAGAAAGGCAAATCTGACATTGGCGCGGGTGCTGTACCGAGCAGCACACTAACTAACAACTCTTACACAACAGCCTCTAGCCCGTAATATGTAGGTCGAAATTCCATCTCTGCGTCTCACGTCGCATATAATAACTTGGCTTTCATTGAATTATTTAATGCACAGGCTCTTGGAAAAAAGTGTCATTTTTTCAGTTACAAAGCCCATACATACAGACACGCTTTATCAAAGATTGTGGAATATGAGGTTGAGGGTTTCGTTAAGGATTTATTTAGTGTGCACTAACAAGACCACGTAAAGTGAAACGATCCCGTGCAAAGTATAATTAATGGGTATGTAATTATTCTCATGAGCTTGTGCTATCACCAGCTCTTAGTGAAATAAATCGATAGTTTTAAATCTCTTCAATGCGTCCATCTAATTCTGAGTAAGAAGATTGACATCAAACTTGAAATAACTCATAATCGCTTAAGTAATATACTTTGAATTAATTATGATGTTTCTAATTTTTATAATTTTTTTTCAACGGTTTCCAAAAAGCGAGGCATGTAATTTATGAAAACAATTTTTTTCAAAATCGTGTTTTACTTATACAATTATTTTTACTTTGCTACTTGCAGATTTGCAAATAAAGGTATTCGCCATCTAGGGGTAGATATTGTCATCAATAATCATTAATTTTGAGTAACGGACGTAAAAAATAAATCAGTATTAAAATATTAATTCCCAATTATAATACTCAAAGTATAGGATCTAATTATTATTGTTCAATTTCAAAATATTCAAAATTATTGAATTTTCATGCAATTTTTGTACAATTTATTTAAAAAATTAATCATCACTGACACATTTAATTCAAAATTCATTTTCGGGCCCTATTAATAATAGTTGCACGATGAGAATAACAACACCGTTAAAAAAACCTTTCATTGAATGCCGACTCAATTAAAAGTAAGATAAATAATTTTCTGATAAAAAAATTAAGTTTTAATTTATAGATGAGATTAATTTATAGTACAATTTTCAAGGTAGAATAATATGCATCGAAATTTGACCTCGACTTTATCGTTTGATAAATTTTCAGTGTATATTTATGAAATGTTCTAGATTTCAGGCTAATTTCCAACCCAAAAATTTTGAAATAATTACGTTTTAATTTTTTAAAAGTTCTTATCAATTATTAAACTTAGCGTTTTGCATCTGCATGTTGATTAAGTCACGTCTCGGATGTATAATGTCTCACTAATTCACATTATGCAAGTGAAATTTTTTTTCCTTCTTGAAGCAAAAAATTCGGAGAGCAGTTAGTAAGTCTAGATTGTACGTATTCAATTCGTAACGTACAGGAACAGTAAATGGTCATGAAATATTTCATGTCCGACTTGCTAGGGAAATGCATGAATTTGACTAAGACTGATAAGATGGAGGTGCTTTAGTGAAATTTCTCGTAGCGCACACAGTGCTTGTATGAAATTTAAAAGCTTAGAAATATCATTTTTCACGCCAAATTCCTGTAATCTCGAGCATTAGTTGGTTGATTAACTTCATGAATTTTTATCCATCCATCAAATGCACCGGAGGTACTAAGGCCGACATAATGGACAATTTTAACGGTCTGGTTGCGAAGTTAAAAAAATGTAAAAAAAAATTACTATCTGACGACGCTGTAGCGCGGAAGAGAAAGAGAGTAAAAAAAGAAGCTCAAAGGCATTGTTGAAAAAACTCCGGCGTTCGCCGCATTTACGAAAAAGCAACGATGGCGAGGTCAGGTAGGGAGGGTTCGGGTAGAGTACTTTTGTGTACACTTCCGAGTCAACTGCGCGCAATTACAAAACAAGCGGCCGCGAGTGTAATCCGCCTCTTAAAAATGATGAAAATAAAAACGCAGCGTAGAAAACAGGTGACTGTGTACGTGAGTGTGTGTGTGTGTGAATGTGCATATAGTCGTGTATGTATCGTAGACGTTGGGGTCATAGAGTGGATGTGTATGTATACATTACCAAGTCGAGTTAACAAACCATCGAATAATTTTCAAGTAGCCAGTCACGTGTAAAAATAAGTCGTGACTGTAGAACGCGTGTATGCGCCTGAGCTCGTGTACATGCTAATCTCACCGTATACGGATTTGTTGTTACAGCGCCGCAAGGAGCGCGGCAGGATCGCCGTCGAGAGCGTACATCTCGTGGAGACTGCTACGCTGTGCGGCAGTGGTACCGAGGTGGCCAGCGATTCGAGCGGCGGAGGTGGTGGCGGCAGCGGCGGTGTACCGCCAGGACTGCCGTTTCAAGTTGGCTACAGAGAGGCCGGTCAGGAGTACACCCTGTATCTCGTTGCACCGAGAGAGCAGGACAGAGCTGAGTGGATTCGTGCCATAAGAGCTGGTAAGTTTTTACTTTTGTTATTTTACTTTTTCACGCAGGCACTTGGCTTGATTTTGTCTATTTCAACTTGAAATGACTTCAATCGACCCCTTTACTCAACTATCAAAGAGAATCGGTAATTGATGACTATTGTTCAATTGAAGTTTCCGCAGCGATGAACAGTTAGGGAGAACTTGTTTAAAGTACTTGACTTACAACTCGGCATGATTACAAATTCCTTTGATCGTTATAGTTCAAGGAAAATATACATATTGATGTAAAACTTCCTTTAAGCTCATTAAGTCTTTAAAGTTCTCTGAAAAATGGAAGCAACCAATATATATAACACAACCTTTTTCTTATACATGTTATTTTCAATTCGATTGCCATCATTTTATCTTACCTAATTTTATTTCGATATAAATATTTAGCATCAGATCATACAATTTTTCGAATTCAATTTTGTTTGTTATTTCAATCGATTTCGAAAAGTTAAATGAACAATCTCAGTATAATGAAAAGCGTATAATTTTACAAGTGTCTAGTCCTTTTATCCCGCATTTCTCTCGCCAGCTAATTGAATCGGGGCTTTCCTACCATTTGAAAAATAGATGATTCGCTTTAATTGATTGGCCTTTTGACGGGTAATGATTATTCGCTTGATACACAGTGTGAGGGCAGAAAATACCCCAGAGAGAACTTGTATCGCAAGACTAATACGGATTAGTGTTTACTTAGAAAATCCATCGATTTATCAATCAAATCGGGAAAACTTGATTAAGATCAAGCTCTGCAGTGCAGCAGCAGTTTCAGGCTAGTATATACACGGATATACACTGGCCATTCTGTTTCATTTGCCAGATAATATGTGTACAGGTGCAGTGGGCATTGCAAGATGCGGAACGGATAACCCGTTGCGGTTTGTTTTCTTGAAAAAGTATTGGTGCAATTTTGTAATGTTTCATTTTATGTGCTCCAAAATTACGAAAATCAATACAAGGAAAAAAGCTATCCATGACCAGAAAATGACCATTTACTTGTTTTAAGAAAAAAAAGCCCCCAACACTAGGTGGCGAGTATAATTAGTATCTGAAAATCTGCAAGTGGTCAAGTATGAATAATTGTATATAACTGAAAGCACGGTTTTGAAAAATACCATTCTATTTTAGTATATGTTTAACAAAAGACAGTAATTTTATTATTCAAATTAAAAAATTCAATTGAATTGACGTTTTACGAAAAAAAAGTTTTTAAAAACGTGGAACTTTATATTTCCTTAAATTGTTTAAAAAAATGTAACATTTTTATTAATTATGTGCCCATTTAGAATTGCCCTTTCAAGTCCAAGAAATTTTTTCGTAGGCAAAATAGTGGTCATAAAATATTAAGCATTACTATCAGGGTTTTAAATAGGCGATATTCATCAATAAATGTTAGATTAGTTTGAAGTTTCAATGATCCTATTGCGTCGCATGAAAAATGATGATTGAAAATTGTTCTTTAGAAAAAATTAGCCGTTTTTACTACAGGATTAAAAAATTCCCCCGTTGAACAAAACATTAAATTTCACCAATTTAAGCTTTGAAAATGCAGCTGGATAAAATTTACAAAATGTATCAAATGGCTATATACGAATGTACTTGAAAAATATTTTGTACATTTCAATAGCCGACGGTCAATTTATGAGAACCATGGGCATTCGACTGTCATTCAGCCTCATCGTTGATACAATTCAACGCTTTCATAATTATTGACCTTCGAGCATTGAGTCATTATTGAAGTACGCAACCCAATTACTGGTGACATATTGAACAATGCTATAGTGTATACGTACATCTTTCCAAACAATACATCCGTACAATGTGTTCTGTAAAATGAGTTTGTTCGTAAAAGAGCAGTCCCCATTGGCGCCCATCATAATTGTATCTATAGTTCGTAGCGATGTTTTTTTTACGACAATAACTGGTCATAATTAATTTTAATAAAAAACATAGGTCTACCTTTATCGTTATGGAATCAATGGATTCTAGTTGAAATAAAGCATTTATTTCTACGATTTCTTACGTCTACGTTCTTTCTTTATATGTCTCCTCTCTTTGCGAATACAAATATCAAAAATCTATTCCACAATGGCGCCTGCTAGCTCAAGCTGGTTTAGACGCTTCTGCGCGTGACACAAATACGATATAAAACCTACGCGTTTTGTGTGTTAGTGGAAGTTTTTGTGTGCTTAAAAATTCGATTTTTTCACAGTTTTGCACTCTCTGTCGTATATATATTATATCGCCGCTCGATCGATACTCTTTGCACGTATCATTCAATATTTTTCAATATATGTTTGCGAATTCTTCGGTGGTGACCCCTCTATGATGTATAGCGAATTCCTCATCTTGACTTCAATTTTTTCTCTCACACCCACATCGAAAATCTCATGTTTCCGTTCGATGGAAACATCGAGCGATATAATTCTCTAACGAATCGTTTGAAATCAAATTTTTTTTTCTTGTACCTCTTGCTTTGACTCTGATTATACGAAAGCTACTAATTGAATTTGACTTTAAAAAAAGTGGCACACTTTTTCCTAGTGTGTGACTTGATCAATTAATACTCATATCGTGTGAAAAAAATCGATTCCGTATGCGCGCAAAGGTGACTCTTACGAGGCACGCGTGATTTGTTCGGTTCCTTGCTTCGGTCATGCCCATATACGTTTTCTCTTTTGACTCGACTTTTTTTTACCAATCGTCAATGGATTTTAGCACGACTCTAGTAAAAGAAAGTAAAGGACGAAAAACACGTTTGCCAAAATATTTGCTTGGTTGGCGCTGAATTCGGTAAAAATTATCGCAATTTAAGAAATTAATCGAATTTTAGCGAGCCAAGGTCTGAACTGTAGTTATTTTAGAATAAATCGATTGTTGGACGTGACATTTTTTCCAAATATCTTGCCTCTCTATATACGTGTCTCTCACTTCCAGCGAAAATAACAAATATAGTTAAACTTCGACTGCAGGAGGGTAATTTTAATTCAAGCATTAGCTGAAAATCATCAATAATAAAGTTGGCAACGCGCTTGCCACTTAAGAACGAATTCCCTCGTTCTCTCTCCCTCTCCTTCTCTTGTGCATTATTATCGCAAATCGAGTTGGTATACACTTTATACATTTTGTTGTGTACGCATAAATATTTTATATTCCACCGAGCCACTTGGCAACTGAAGCTGCCACGAGCTTAATGAGTTCACGTGCAACGCGCTCGTGCACTCGCGCACTGCAATGAAACTCGCAAATGATTTTCGAGTTTTACGCACTGCGAGGAGAGTTACGACAAGGACAAAGTACTTCGCGCTCGCGTCTCATCTCTCAAGAGAGAGCGAGAGGGAGGGAGGGAGAGGGAGAGCGACAAAAAAGCTCATATTTTGTCGTAGTCAATTCGAAGCTTCTCACCGCGTTTTTTCTCGGCCTTGTTCGACTTTGTACACGATATATACTGCTGGCACACACACATACATACACACAGGAGCAGTCTTTCACTGCCTCTTGCGAGCTTTTCATTCATACAACTGCGGCAATCATGATCTTTTTCTCGGGCAACTCACCGAGGACTTGTTCTTTGATACCGGTCGAGTGTTTAGTAACTTCTTAACTTTCAGTCGGAAAACTATAGTTTGGTTTCTCCTGTGTTTAGCTATTTGTACTGTGCAGGGCGTTTTTAACGAGAGATCTTCTTTCGTTCCAGTGCAGCGCACTTTTAAAGTGCCGCTGCTCCGTTTTGCGTTTCTTCTGCCTTTTTATACTTGCGCTTTTTCTTGCAAAGAAAATTATTTCTTTCCTAATTGTAATCGCTGCCATTTTTGTTTGATTAAAAATGATTTCGGGTATATTTTCATTATTTTTCACAATTCATAACAAGAGAACAAATGTTCGTTGAAGATTTTCGTTCGTTTCAAGATGAAAATATCAAATATCCGTAGCTATAATTGACCATTTTTTATGAAAGGCTTGGTATTTATATTGAGATATTAAATTCAAGTGGCTGTTCCATGAACGTTTTTATATATTTTTCAAGTATTTTACTTTCTGCCTTTGTTACTATCAATGAAGCTTTGATTAAATTTCCGTAGTGACTAGGTCTATTTAGTTCATTTTTCATTATTTTCCTCGAGCTATCAACGTTATCATAATTTTTCAAATTGTTTCATTAAACACTGAAAAATCTGAAGGATTCTTTTAACAAAGTAACTTGATGAGGAAGAGTGCTTAAAAATTTCAATCATCCCAAAGTTAATGAATCAATGAGAGACGAATAGGCGGCAGTTGATGCTCCTGCACGTCAAATTGATTCATGTACACCTGCGCATGGTTGAAATGTTTTCATTTCATTGAGTGAGAGATCGCAAAAAGCTCAGTGTGTCAGTTCATTCAACTTAGATTGAATTTTCGAAGTTAAACTTTATTTTCTCTTCCTTCTTCTCTGCGAAAGAGGGTGAGGTGTAATCAAATAGCTGAACAAAGAAACTCAAACTTGGAGCCGGCGCGAATTACAGAAATCGTTCTTAATCCAACATCACGCTACCGCAAACCCACTTTTTTTTTCTCTTCCTTTTTCCTTATCGACTGAAGATATATAATGGAGTTATACACGACGGGGATCTTTTGTTCCACTCTGGGCTTTATTAAGCTCCGGAAATTCTTGCATGCGAAAATAATGCGTCTCGCTCTCTCTCTCTCTCTTTTCGACGGAGAAAAATCATTCTTTTCTTTCTCTCTCTCTCTCTCTCTTGCACCCGTGCGATTTTAAAAACTTGACTCTCGCAAGCCGAACTTTCACGTTTGAATAGTAAACTGAATTTTCGGCGGTATGAAGAGCCCCAAGAGGAACTTTGAGAAGCTAGGGGTAAATTGATCGAACGCGAAGCTGCTGCACCTTTAGGTCCGATTAAAAATCAATGGCTGCTACTACTAGTCTCTGCCCACGCGAGCGCGACCCGCATGCGTCAATCAGAGTTAAAGCTTGCGTTTATGACTCGCGCTAGCTGTCGGATGGGTTAATCCCCAGCTCGAGACCCTCCAGAGAGGTTTATATATAATACGTAGTGCAAGCCAGTAGTGTGCAGTAGTCTCAAGGCTGTTTGTGTATTTGCGATGTGCTAGCTCCTCTCAAATACACACACACACACACACACACACACACACACACACACACACACACACACACACACACACACACACACACACCCACTTTACGTACACCTACGCACACACGTCCGCTGTGTGTAAGACGTACATGTACATGTGTACGTATACGATCACAGGTTAGCTAGGCAGTAAACACAAAAGACCAAGGAGTATATTGTAGTGCGTCAAGGGATAGCTATTTGTAAGCGCGCCGCGTGCATCTGGATGCAGGCACAAAGCTCAAGTTTGCGAGCTACTTTCGAGTCTACATGCTCTCTTAGTAAATTTACAACAATCTGCGTTGTATATTTATCGCTTCGTTAATGCGAGTTGAAATCAGTGTATTTTCCCAAAACTTCGTCTTGCTAGTTTTGTAATTCATATTCTCGCAAGTGAAATATAGCTGATTCGAGCTTGCAATTAATACTCGCGTCAACATGTTTTTATTCTTTTCTTTTTATTCGAACAAACGTAAAATTGCTGCGATATTAAAACGGCCAATGCACGTATAACACCGGACAAGCTGTGTCTTTTTAATAAAGCCATTCGACACGTAAAGTGCAATTTTTTATTGCCCATACAGTCCGTGCGTATATATAATACAGTAAATGCATTCGTATAACACTTGTAATTGATTTTTTAATTAAAAATCGCCCCGTCAAGAGAAAAAGTTTGTTCATTTCGATAAGAAAAATCAAATGCCATAATAAAAGTATGAAAAAACAAGCGAAGAGATCAGAACTTATGTAATCGCTGTTTTTGTTTGTTTATTCGCAGTTTGCAGCGAGAATCCGGGCCTGAGCGGTCGCTTCCACACGGGCTTCTGGAGCGGCAAGCGTTGGTCCTGCTGTCGTATGTCGACGCGCTCGGCCGAAGGCTGCGACACCTGCAGCCCCTGGTCGAACATCTCGTCCACGTCGACGAGCAAGTCGAGCGTGGCCGCGCTCACCCCGAGCCAGCTCACGGCCAGTAATTCCGACCGTCTGCTGCTGCAGCACCAGTCGTCGAGCTCGCTCGTGGGTGCCAGCCAGCTCGCCGCCGGTGGTATCATAGTTACGGCGACGAGCAACGGTGCTGCTGCAGCTGCAGCTGCGGCGGCGGCGGCCATCAGCAACAGCGCCACCACCAATTCGACCACCTGCAGCTCCGAAACCAATAACAATCCCACCTCGGTGCAATCGCAGACACGCTCCAATAACGGTAAGTCGAACGCAACTCGCCTAATAATACTGGCTTACATACACCCACCCACGCACACGTACAAGCGCATCCAGTCCGAGAGTAGTAATTGTTTCCAGCCCATCTGGCCGGGAGGTACCGATAACTAATAACAAATACTTCCCAAAGTTAGCGCGCGCGTCTTTCACGGAGCGGCTACATTATTGGATCGGTGTACCGGATCCAATAATGCTGCATATTTTTCTGCTGCGACAGTGCGAAAAATGGCCTGTACGTATAGACTCGTAATGCGCTCCACTGAATGGACGAGAGAGATATGAATGGATCTTTTCTGGAAAAGTGCCATTGTTGCATGCATATTATATACAGAGACTCTCCTCTCTTACTCTCTCTTTCTCTCTCTAAATCCGAATAAAACATTATGTCATAAAAAAAGTAGTAGCACTGGGTCATCGCGCATAATACACACAAGATGTATATCACTCGGCTAATGCACCGCAGAGAGTTGTTGCTGTTGTTGTTATACGCGTGCATACTTCTTTGTCAGCGCGTCAGCGGCTCATCAAAATGTCATTTCTCAACGATTCAATAATTCAACGCGTGTGTGCGCATATACACTGTGTAGTGCGCGCATAGCTCATACGTGCGAAAATTGCTATGCGCGCCGCTCTGAGCTGCTGCTCACGGTCGTGCCGAGAGGATCGCTATCCTCTCTCTCTCTCTCGCTCGCTAAAACACAATTGGCATGGATTTTTCACTCGCCGTGACGTCTATTATATACCTATGTATACGTACGTGCGCATCACGCAACTCGACTTTTCATAAATGAAATCAACGCGCTTTAAACAAAAACTCGCTGAGCCGCTGCGCGCGTGCATGATGCAGCGACTCTCGAGTTAATAATTTCTCTTCTCTTTTCTTTTCTTTTTTTTTCATACAAATTCAATTCAGCCCCAAAAAGTTTAAATGAAATTTTCGGAAATGAGCGTGGAATTTTCACGACGAGTGTGTTTTGTTCTTGCGCTTTAATTTACAAGACAGCAGCGCGTATCATGAACTCTTTCCGAATGGTACACGGCTGTAAAATCTTTTCAGCGAAGCATAACTCCGAAGTTTTCGCGAGTAGAAAGATAGGAAGAGAGAAAGAGAAAGATTCTTTAATGGAAATTTTTAATTTGTCCGACTTCATAACAGCGCGCGCTGCATCGAGGCGCCTCGGCAGGCAGTAGCGGCCGAGCTATTACGTTAGCCGGTATTAAATGTAATTAAGAAAAACTTGGTCGTGAAATACATACTCATATATACCACAGATACGTATACGCGTAGCATACATACAAACATGCAACAGACACACACATACACACGCGCACACACGTACACATTCACCAGGCACCAGGTAGCTAAGTAGTTTAAAATAAGCTCAAAGTTTCTCGGCAATTTGTATCTGCTATATAAATTACGCGAAATTAAGCAAAGCTTCGCACGGGCGCGCCCGTCCTTAATTTTCTCGCTAACACTTTATACCTTTTGATCTCTTGGCGCGTTCGAGTTAACTTGCCTGCCTGCCTGCATACGACCAAGTTTCGATAATCGCTATCCGTAATTATACATCTATTTATCATCTCTCGCTCGCTATTTGTATTGTCATCGTCAATTATTTTTCAAAAATGCCAGAATAATCAGTCGCCGCGGACGTTTCGAAAAATACACCGAGCTCGGCAAAGTGAGTGAGAGATACAATATATAGCTCCACCGCGTGCACAGATCGAGATGATTAATTGGCTGCGTGGTGTGGACGCGCGCGCCGCTTGAAAAACAATTATCCACTCTTCGAGACTGTCGTACTTATTTCCGTCAAACAACGGCTGATGAACGATGCGAAAAAAAAATTCATTAGTTGCCGTTTCGGTTGCCGCTCTGGCCCCCCTTTCAAAACTTGAGCGAGGTAAATAAGCAGACGAGCGATCGCGCACACATATTGAAAAGTCATATTATGATACGCGCTGCGCTACAGTGATACGTGTGCCACTTTTGTGTTAATCTGTAATACAAGAAACTGGCGCGTGCGACGAAGAAAAAAGAAACGGTTATAATACGTCCAGTTTGAGATGAGAGCGAGAGAAAGAAAAAAATCCTGACTCTGCATTAATCGGAGTGTAGCGGGGTCAGATCCAAGTCGATTCAGGAGAAAAAAAGAGTAATAATAATATTTGCAGCGAAGACGAGATTTTTAAACGGCACAACAGCAGCAGCAGCAGCAGCAGCTACGTGGAATTTAAAATTGGCAAGCTATATTACGAATCGACGATATCGGAGCGACAGTAGTGTCTCTATAGCACCTACATAAATGTGCGCATTAAAGCACAATAAAATACGAAATTGTAAAAACCGGAGGCTAGAGCTCGAAGCATTATATTGGATAAAAATCGGCAGAAGTGCGCGAACGAGCGAGCGAGCGCGCAAGCAGCGGTGTGAAAAGCGTGACACACTTGCAGGCGTTTCTCTCTTGCTTGCTTGCTTCTTCTACTTCTCTCCTCATTAGTATATATATTTAGTCGATGGCGCGCGCACATACACAAAACACCGCTCGCAGCAGCTTCGAATCGCACTGCACCGCCTGCGTGTGCAGTTTGAAAACGACGCGATACACGTATGCGTGCAAATGAGTGTGTGTATGTGTGTGTGTGTGTGTGTGTTAGCGAGCTGCAGACATCAGCTCGTTTTGTCTTGCCTCTCCGCACATCATCGCTCATTCGTCCATCGCAGGCTCGGATCGTAAGGCCGCCACCGCCGCGTACGTGTGTGTTCCAGGTGCTTCTTTCTGCGCTCGCGCGCGCGTCTGCTTATGTATATCAACGCGAATACATCTTATATATCAGCCGCGATCATCTAGCTGCATATAATTCCTACGTATACGCGGGCAAAATAAATCACTCGCCTCGGTGTTTTTACATAATACAAATGTTCCTCGAGTCGAGGAAGTAGTGAGTTTTGGAGTGTAGAGTGCACGGCATGGTCGACTCGATGAAATATACATAATAGCTTTTCGACTTTATGAACAACGAGTGTGTAGAGCGTGCAGCTCTCGACGCGAATGAGAAATGAGTTCGATACTGGCTTCGTCCGTGAAATGGACATTGGGAATGAGAGATCGGCTGCCGGATGCACGGGACATCAGGCTGTTTGGCTACCGATGGACTCTGCGCAACTTTCCTCTGATTACGCATCAGTCAGGTATGAGACGTGTGTGTGTGTGTGCACGTATACCCGATAGCAACTTCCTCCTTCTTGCTATCTCGCGTGCATCGTCGTGTGAGCATGCAGCACCCGTGTACGTCTGTGTGCGCGCGTCTGCGTTTGGGAGTATCGAATCTTGTGAATGGCTAATTAGCCGAGCGCGCTACAGCAACGTATAGAAGAAGAAAACTTCGAATACGCTCGCGCGCGTTCTATTCGGTATATATACGGCAAAATTCGATGCGTAAATCGTGCGCTGTACGTACATTAATATCAAGCGTTGAGTAATAATTTCGCCTATTCCGAAAGAGACAGCCGAGCTATTATGCTCGCATGCATTTACCGTGCAGTCGATTTATTGCGCTCGGCTGTAATCGAGCTAGAACACTCGAGAGAGCTAGGCAGGCTACGCGCGTTAGCTATTATAATATGTGTGTTGCGCGTTGCGTGTGTCCGTGCGTCCGTGCGTCCGTGCGTCTGTACGTGGGCATATACGTACGCTGCCGTCCAGCAATAAAACAGAATCAATGAGCGCGCGAGAGGCAATTAATTTGTCGATTTGCCTCTGCGTGTTTGTTTTATGCAGCTCCGCGATCTATATGCCCATGCGCCTATGAGGTGCGCGTAATTTATATTATCGCGAGACACAGAGGGAGTTGCGTTAATGCGATGATTTAGGAGGCACGATTAGTCGTTAGTCTATAATATGAAGCAGCGCGACAGCAGCGGCGTATATAATATATTTTTGATCCGATACCCGTCGAGAGAATTCGCGCCGGTGCAGTTACGATCGCGATGCCCACGCGGATGAAATTTCTCGATCGATATAGCATACGTTATTACGACGACGCGGAATGTCAAAAGCGCGAGACTAAGCAAATTTTTCAGTGCGTGTCCGTGCAGTGTGCATACGCAGCATTACGTGTACGCGCCGACGACGATGCACGCAAATACTCAGCTCTGCACGTGACAGTAGCCGCGGCTGCGTCGACGCGTTGACCTATAACTACCTGGCGCGCGCCGTAATTATTACGAAAGACTTTTGTCTGTTGCTCTCCTGAGTACGATGCGTTTGTCGAGGCTATATAGATATATAAAACGTGTATGCACAACTGCTATAATACATTAGCGACTTATGTATTATAGTCGCGTTTCGTCGAGAGAGGAAGAGTAGGGAGAGAGGAGAGTTCTTTGTGTGTAACGTAAACAAAATGCAATTTTCTGTCGTCTTGAGAATAGCGACTCCAACGTAAACACATAGCCTCTGCTATTATTGCCGCGCTGAGAAGCTCCGGTGCTTTATGCTGCTCGTGTTCGTGTATTATATATATAGTCCGCACTCGTTCTTTTGTGCTTTGAGGAAAGAAAGAGCGATGGGGAGAGCGAGAGAGAGAGGAAGATCGCATGGTTATTAAAATTACGCCGAGCGAGCAGCAGCTATATATAAGAGCGACGTATAAAGTCCGAGCTGCACACGTTGCATGCATGTTGACGATATCGGAGAGCACGAGATTTATATTTCTTATGTGTGTGTACGTTTGTAAGCGTCTCTCTTTCCCTCTTCAATCGTGAGAAACGTACAAAAGTCAACGCATCATCAAATTCTCGAAGCTTCCCCCTCATTTCGTATGATACTTTGATAAATAATTTTTTAACGTTGCGGCGAAGGAAAAATTTTTCGCTTTTACCGCACACGCGCATACTCTGATACATGTGCGCGCGATCGAGGGTCGAGTTTCTCAATTATACACATAGGGATTTAGTATTCGACGTAGTTTAAACAA